AGCTGGCTGCACCAAGAAATTCTGTCCATAAAAGTTATGAACAGAATCGGTGACAAGGGGCAGCCTTCGCAGAGTCCAACTCCCACCCTGAAGGGGTCCAATTTACTGTCGGCAAAGCGAACCAAACTCTCGCACCGCTTGTATAGGGACTGAACAGCCCGTAACAACGAGTCTCCAATCCCTTACTCGCGGAGCACCTCCCACAGTGTACCCTGAGGAACACGGTCGAATGCCTTCTCCAAGTCCATAAAACACATGTAGACTGGATGGGCAAACTCCCATGACCCCTCAAGGACCTTAGTGAGGGTAAAGAGCTGATCCAGTGTTCCACCTCCAGGACGGAACCCACATTGTTCCTCTTGGATCTGAGGTTCGATCAATGATCGGACTCGCTTCTCCAGTACCCCTGAATAGACCTTACCAGGGAGACTAAGGAGAGTGATGCCCTAATAATTGGAGCACACCCTCTACGGTCCACCTTTTTGAAGAGGGGAATCACTACCCCAGTCTGCCAGTCCTATGGCACTGCTCCCGATGTCCACGCGACGTTGCAAAGGCGTGTCAGCCAAAACAGCCCCACAATATCCAGAGCCTTAAGAAATTCAGAGTGAATCTCATCCACTCCTGGAGCCCTGCTGCCTCTGAGCTTTTTAACTACCTCAGCGACCTCAGTCATGGTTATAGACGGATCAACCCAGAAGTTCCCCGACTCATCTTCCTTCATGGAAGACGTGCTGGTGGGATTGAGAAGGTCCGAGAAGTATTCATTCCACCTCCCGACGACATCATTGGTTGAGGTCAACAACACCCCACTTTCACTGAACACACTGTTAGTAAAGTGCTGCTTTCCCCTCCTCAGCTGCCTGATGGTTTGCCTGAATCTCCTCTGAGCCAACCGAGAGTCTCTATCCAAGGTCTCACTGAACTCCTCCCACATCTGAGCTTTTGCCTCAGCAACAGCCAAGGCTGCACACCACTTGGCCCTCCGGTACTCTTCAGCTGCCTCCAGAGTCCCACTGGCCAAAAAGGCCTGATAGGACTCCTTCTTCAGCTTGACAGCCTCCCTAACCCGAGGTGTCCACCACTGAGTCCATGGATGACCACCGCGAGAAGCACCGACAATCTTGCAGCCACAACTCAAGGCATCATCTCCCACCTCAGCTGGGATGCGTTTAAAGCTCTCCTGGAGGTGTGAGTTGAAGATCTCTCTGATGGGTTCTTCTGCCAGGCGTTCCCAGCAAACCCTCACTACACGTTTGAGACAGAGTCTGTCCAGCATCTTCCCCCGCCATCTGATCCAACTCACTACCAGGTGGTTATCAGTTGACAGCTCAGCTCCTCTCTTTACCTGAGTGTCCAAAACAAATGGCCGCAAATCAGATGACACGACTATGAAGTCAATCATCGATCTACGACCTAGGGCGTCCTGGTGCCAAGTGCACTTATGGACACCCTTATGTTCATGCATGGTATTCGTGATGGACAAACTATGACTAGCACAGAAGTCCAACAACAGAACACCGCTCAGGTTCATATCAGAGAGGCCGTTCCTCCCAATCACACCCCTCCAGGTCACACTGTCATTACCCATGTGGGCATTGAAGTCCCCCAACAAAATAAAAGAGTCCCCAGCAAGTGCACCTTCCAGCAACCCTGCCAAGGACTCTAAGAAGGCCGGATACTCTGAACTGCAGTTCAGCGTGTAGGCACAAACAACAGTCAGAGCCCGTCCCCCCACCCGAAGGCAAAGGGAAGCCATCCTCTCATCTACCGTGGAAAACTCCAACACACAGGCACCAAGTCGGGGGGCTACAAGTAGACCCACACCAGCTCGAAACCTCTCACCATGGGCAACTCCAGAGTGGAATAGCGTCCAACCCCTCTCAAGGAGATCAGTTCCAGAGCCCATGCTGTGCGTCGAGGTGTGCCCAAATACATCTAGTCGGTACCTCTCAACCTCGCACACAAGCTCAGGCTCCTTCCCTGCCAGGGAGGTTACATTCCATGTCCCAAGAGCTAGCAAGCTAGGGTAAGAGCGCCAAGGTCCCCACCTTCGGCCACTGCCTTCGGCCACTGCCCATAGCATCATGCACCCAACTTTTATGGCCCTTCCTGCAGGCGGTGGGTCCACAGGAAGGCAAACCCATGCTGCTCCTTCGGGCTGAGCCCGACCGGGCCCCATGGGCAGAGACCCAGTCACCAGGTGCTCGCCGACGAGCCCCTCCCCCAGACCTGGCTATAGGGTGGAGCCCCAGTAACCCACGTCTGGGCAAGGGACACTGAGTTCCTTGTTTTGTTTTGTCCATAAAAATTTTCTGAATCGCTCTTTGTCTGGCCTGTCACCTAGGATCAATCTGCCTTGGGAGACCCTACCAGGGGCAATTAATTGCCCCCAACAGCATAGCTCCTAGGATCATTTGAAATAGCAATCATGAGCTGGAGATACCCTCAAAGCTGTTTTTCACCTCTTCCGTAGCCCTAAATTTATGTACTTCACAAAAACATTGTTCAAATGTGTTTCAAATGCAAAATGCAGCAATACATGTCTACTAAGAAATTAAATGAACTCTACAAGACATGATTGTAGTGAATTAAAAGAGGAAAAAAAATGCTTTTAATATAAATTCAGTACAATTCTGGTTGTTCTAAGGCAGTGCTTCTCAATTATTTTATCTTATCCCCCCCCCCCCCCCCGTAAGACGATCACCTTTCCTCCCCCCCCCCCCCCACACACACACACACACTCTCCGCGGCGACTGTAAATAGTATGTCTATAAAATTGTTATAAGTACACCTCTACCTAACATTGTGTCCTTATTAACATTAATGGGAAAAAAGAACATACAGTAGATCAACTTACAAGGAAGAATTAACATTGCTTTTTTTAGTCTGTATCAATTTGCCTAAAATTAAATATAATCAATAAATAATAATAAACTCAAATTGATCAGCAACATTTTAACTCAGGAGTGTTATATAAAACACTTTGACCTACAAAACAAAAATGAATAAAACAATTTATGCTGATTTTTTTAATAATCAAAATGAGGAAGTCAGGATCAATGAGCACATTCATCGATAAAACAAACAAAAAAAATTGTCAACGAGAAAGAGGAAAGAGGGGGCAGGTAACCCTCTCGTTTTGAGTTACTCTTTGTCGCCTGCATGCTGTGAGTGACAAGCGTCCAGAGCATCAAAAAACAGCAGCTTAACTGAGGAGGTGAATTAATTTTGTTAGCAAAGAATCAAGTCCTAACATTTATTAAACATTACTTCTGTAAATTGTGCTTTGACAAACTCATCGATAAAACTAAAACATTTAGTCAACGCAAAAGAGGAAAGAGGACAAGGGTGTCAGAAGCATCCATATTGTGGGGGGGACACAATGATGTGTGTAGGTGTGTGTGTGCGCGCGCACGTAAAAAAAAGGTGTTCAATAGTGTACAAAAAAGCAGCATTTCACCTATATTTCCTTTAATTCCACACATTTAAAGCATGTTTCTCACCAAGATTGTGTAAATTCATCTGTGGGTTTTAAAAACATTTTAACTTTAATAAACTTTAATATAGTGCGTCAGATCGGCACTATTTGTCTTTATAGAGAAATAAAAAACATCACTACTGGACTTTTTTTACTTGTGTTCAACACTACTCATCTAAATGATGTTTCCCATGAAGCTTGAGGACAATAAGGTGTGGGGTTTTAAACACATTTCAACTTTAATACACCTGAACACATCATGTTTCTTACACCTGCAGCATCTTACAGCATCACAGTTACTGCTAAGCTAAGCTGCTACGTAGTGCTCCACTTCTCTCCTCCTAATATGAATATATGTTTATCATCAATCCCCTGGTCAACCACTATCCGCACTAAGCTCGCTAAACTGGCGCGAGGTATCTCCACCTCCTCCACCTGTGCGCGTTTTCTGCCGAGGCAAGAGGCAGGAAGGGACAGTGGAGAGTTGGAGGTAACCAGGAAAATCTGGTGTGGAGTTTTAGTGGCTTGAGTATTTTCCGATTAATCAAGTGGAATGGATTCGTTCACGAAGAAAGAGAAACTGCGCCGCCTGAACTAATGTTTTATAGTAAAAGTGTGTGTGTGTGTGTGTGTGTGGG